CAGTACTCCAGAGAATCTCTCAGGCCTGCTCTTCAAAACTAAGAAAATCATGGATTTGATCAGCTAGTCTCTCACCGCAATTGACACCATCTTCTCGAAGAGAAGCACAGGTTCGGTGGAACCTGACTGTCCTGCAGGAACATATGCAGCTGGCTACACGATGGATGGATGGGAGAAGTGGAGGGTCGTGTGTCTGGTAGCTCTTTCCGTGGAGGACATCGAAGATATCTACCTATTCGGAACCATAATTACAGGTATTATGCTGATTGGGTTAGGCATTACCCTGGTTTATCGAAAATTGAAGAAAACGGTGACAGCCGCTCACCGGCTGGCTGGGATGATTGACGGAGTTGGCAGAGCTGTTGGCACTCAGACTGTGGTTATAGATCGCAAATTGGATACTATTGATCGCAGATTGGATAACATCACGGAGAAGCTCACGGCTTTGCAAAGGATTTTGGATGGCGGAGACCAGCGTGGACATTAGAGGAGCTGCGAAATTACAGCTTCTCGCCCAAAAACCCAAACAACCCTATTCTATCTACTTTTGCCTCCCCCCTAATCAGCACTGGCCTTGGCTAAGGGCGCTGCTGAATTCAACAACTCCCCTGGAAGAACAAGGCAGTGAGACTCTCTTGCATTCCTTTCCCTCAATCCCAAGGACACCTGGATATACACACACATATGCATATGTACAGATACGCACTCACCGCACCCTCCCCCCAACCCACGCCTTCGCCACTTCATACCCCCAGCGTGAACAGGCGGCTCTGTGACTGGCGCTGGATTTGGCTGCAGGACCGGATGGCCAGATGACCTCATCTGGCTCCTCTCAATGCAGAGGAGCAGTGACTCTACTTTGAGTCTCTCCCGAATGACCAAACTCCTCACCGTATCTCTAAGGAAGAGCCCAGCTAATCTGCGGAGAAAACTAATTTCGGCCGCTTGCACTCGCAATCTCATTCTTTTGGTCACTACCCACAGCTCGTGACCATAGGTGAGGGTAGGAACGTAGATCGATTGGTAAATCGAGAGCTTTGCCTTTTGGCTCAGCTTTTTCTTCGCCATGACAGAACGATACAACACCCGCATCACTGCTGATGCCACACCGATCCACCCGTCGATCTCGTGAACAAGACCCCGAAATACTTAAACTCCTCCACTTGGGGAAGGACCTCCTCCCTGACCTGGAGAGAGCACTCTACCCTTTTCCGGCTGAGGACCATAGTCTTGGATTTGGAGGTGCTGATTTTCATTCCAGTCGCTTCACACTCGGCTGTGAACTGTTCCAGTGAGAGCCGAAGGTCACAGTCTGATGAGGCCAATAGAACCACATCATCTGCAAAAAGCAAAGACCTAATCCTGAGGTCACCAAACCGGACACCCTCAACACCCTGGCTGCGGCTAGAAATTCTGTCCATAAAAAGGTTATGAACAGAATTGGTGATAAAGGGCAGCCCTGGCGGAGTCCAACCCTCACCAAGAACAAGTCCAACTTACTGCCGGCAATGCGGACCAAGCTCTGACACCGATTGTACAGGGACCGAACAGCCCTTATAAGGCAGTCCAGCACCCCATACTCCCGGAGCACTCCCCACAGGACTCCCCGAGGGACGCGGTCAAATGCCTTCTCCAAGTCCACAAAGCACATGTAGACTGGTTGGGCAAACTCCCACGCACCCTCCAGGACCCTGCCGAGAGTATAGAGCTGGTCCACTGTTCCACGGGCAGAGCGAAAACCACACTGCTCCTCCTGAATCCGAGGTTCGACTATCCGATGGACCCTCCTCTCCAGCACCCCCGAATAGACTTTACCAGGGAGGCTGAGGAGTGTGATATAGTTGGAACACACCCTCCGGTCCCCCTTCTTGAAGATGAGGACTACCACCCCGGTCTGCCAATCCAGAGGCACCGCCCCTGATGTCCACGCGATGCCGCAGAGGCATGTCAACCAAGACAGCCCGCAACATCCAGAGCCTTGAGGAACTCCGGGCGAATCTCATCCACCCCCGGGGCCCGGCCACCGAGGAGCTTTTTAACCACCTCAGCGACCTCTGCCCCAGAGGTAGGTGAGTCCACCCCCAAGTCCCCAGACTATGCTTCCTCATTGGAAGGCGTGTCGGTGGGATTGAGGAGGTCTTCGAAGTATTCCTTCCACTGACCCACAACGTCCCGAGCTGAGGTCAGCAGCGCACTATCCCCACCATAAACAGTGTTGATGCTGCAACGCTTTCCTGCCCTGAGACGCCGGATGGTGGACTAGAATCTCCTCGAAGCAGTCCGGAAGTCATTCTCCATGGCCTCGCCAAACTACTCCCATACCAGAGTTTTTGCCTCAGCGACCGCCGAAGCCGCGTTCCATTTGGCCCACCGGTACTCATCAGCTGCTTCCGGAGTCCTACAGGCCAAAAAGGCCCGATAGGACTCCATCTTCAGCGGGTTCAGGGATTGCCGCCGCGACAAGCACCAACCACCTTACGGCCACAGCTCCGGTCAGCTGCCTCCACAATGGAGGCACGGAACATGGCCTATTCAGACTCAATGTCCCCCGCCTCTCCCGGGACATGGGCGAAGTTCTGCCGGAGGGAGGAGTTGAAACTCCCTCTGATGGGGATTCCGCCAGACGTTCCCAGCAGACCCGCACTATATGCTTGGGTCTGCCAGGTCTGACCGTCTTCCTCCCCCACCAGTGGAGCCAACCAACCACCAGGTGGTGATCAGTTGACAGCTCCGCCCCTCTCCTCACCCGATTGCAGCCGCAAGTCCGATGACACGACCACAAAGTCGATCATCGAACTGCGGCCTAGGGTGTCCTGGTGCTAAGTGCAGATATGGACACCTTTATGCTTGAACATGGTGTTCATTATGGACAATCCGTGACGAGCACAGAAATCTAACAACAAAACACTGCTCGGGTTCAGATTGGGGGTGCTGTTCCTCCCAATCACACCCTTCCAGGTCTCACTGTCATTGCCCATGTGAGCATTGAAGTCCCCCAGCAGAACAAGAGAGTCCCCGGGAGGAGTGCTCTCCAACACCCCTTCCAAGGACTACAAAAAGGGTGGGTATTCTGAACTGCTGTTTGGCGCATAAGCGCAAACAACAGTCAGGACCCGTCCCCCCACTCGAAGGCAAAGGGAAGCTACCCTCCCATCCACCGCGGTAAACCCCAATGTACAGGCACCCAGCCAGGGGGCAATAAGTATGCCCACCCCAGCTTGGGCCTCTCCCCATGAGCAACTCCAGAGTGGAAGAGGGTCCAACCCCCTTCGAGGAGACTGGTTCCAGAGCCCAAGCCATGCGTCGAGGTGAGCCTGACTACATCTAGTCGGAACCTCACAGCCTCGTGCATCAGCTCAGGCTCCTTCCCCATCAGAGATGTGACATTCCATGTCCCTAGAGCTAGCTTCTGCAGCCGAGGATTGGACTGCCAAAGTCCCCGCCTTTTGCCACTGCCTAACTCACACTGCACCCGACCCCTGTGGCCCCTCCTACAGGTGGTGAGCCCATTGGAGGTGGGGACCCACGTGCCTTGTTCGGGCTGTGCCTGACCAGGCCCCATGGGTGCAGGCCTGGCCACCAGGCACTCACCATCGAGCCCCACCCCCAGGCCTGTCTCCAGGGGGGGGTTCTCCTCTTCTCTCCTTATGTAATTTTTGTTGTCATGTTTTCTCTGTTCTTCCTATATCCCCCATCTTCATGACCTTTCTACCCCCTATAATGTGATGTTTGTATATTTATGGTCAGGTTGATGGCCAGTTTTTTCGCTGGTACTTGTGACTAGTGACATGGTATATTGCAACAGTAATAAAGGGTTTTCATCAATCAATCAATAAGACCCTGAAGGTTGCCGAGGGTTGTGTTGGTGTCAGTGTCAGTGTTCCCAGAAGGAGGTGCTTCATCTTACAGGGCACCTTGGTATACAATTGAAAGTAGTCATAGTGCATGACTTAGTGGCAACTTCAGCAGGGCTAGACATAAGCCGCGGCACCGCGGCCAA